TATTGTACTAAATAACAGAGCACTTGAACACTTCTAACAAACCCTACAAAGCCATACAAACATTACTAAGCAAAATGAAGAGACACTAAAAATGTTTCTTGTTCATTAATAAGAAGTGTTGTCACATTGTCACCAAAACCTTTGCTATGGTAGGATGCATTCCTAATGTTTCCCTTAAGTTAGAATATGAAACTTAGGCATTAAATAAAACACATTCATGCTCAAAAGTGGAGGTGAGTACCTGTTTTATCATTGCATGCAGTACCCTTTGATGGAGAGGTAACTTTCTCAGCATAGTACAATAATGAAAACATAGTGTGGGTAATAAGGCCATATAACTGTCCTCTTCTTCAATTTCAGGACATCATTGTCTGATATTTTATGCTGTGACTCTAGTCTTAGTTTGACCCTCCTGACCATAATAGTTTTCTCTGTCCTTAAACATGCTGTTATTGTTAAATGATACACTTGTCACTTACAATTGCTTCAGCCTTTGCAGAGTGTGCAGCATGAAATCTGCCAAGACAAAAGTTGCCAAGGTGTCTGTCACAATGTTCTGATGAGAACTCTAAGGGTGGAGAGACTATTACGTTTATTGAAACCAGTGTGATGAAGACTATACATGTTCACTGCCCTTTGAGAGAATTAAACTGGTAATGCTTTTTTAATTTAGATAATGATGTTTTGCTTTTGAACTTCAATTTGATTGAATATTATGCATCAAATTGTCCTGGACCTTAAGGACTAAAGTGAGTCAGTTTCTCATTACTGGGGAACAATATCTGACACCCACACCTTAAAGGAGGAGAGGTTGTTTTAGCTCCAGCTTAAGAGTCAACTTTTGGCTGAGTCCATGGCAGGGTGGCATCTCAGTGGACTGGTAGCAGAGTGAGAGAACAGACAAGCTGAGGAAGGAGACATGCTTTTCTGTGTCCCCACAATCCAGCCACTTCTGGAAGCCCCACCTCTGATGACAAGAGGCTTTGTGGGGACATCCAGCTGCAAACCTGAACCCGGAGGTGTCACCCACATCTTAATATTCCTGAAGGGAAGCTACACAGCATATTGTTTCAGGGACCCTTATACTCCTGCTCTAGCTACACTTGTTAACTCTTATATTCATTATTTGGCTGAACTTAAAAGATGAAGTCTAGAAATAGAGAGCTAATGTCTCTCAGTCTGCAGGTCCATTATTAGTGTGTGGACTCAGAGAGCTTACGGGAGGACAGGAGCTTCGAGATACGATGCATGTGGTAGTGGTGGAGATGGAGATTAAATATATGTCCCACTGAAATAACATAGGTCCAAACTCAGCATGGAGCAGGGAGAGCCCTGCATGTGCTGACTCTGAATTCTACCTTACAGCACCTGCTGTCACAGAACAAGTTATACTGAGAAACCTACCATTCTCTGACCTCCTCTCTGTGAGCTGCATCCTATCAACTACTAATAATTCCACCACTGCTGTGTGGGTTTTGTATTTCTAGGGCAGACCACATTTCCAAAGATTTTTAGCTTTATTTTAGGAATAAAAATATATCACAGTCCACCTCATGAGTTAGATAATTCCATTGCATATCATATTTATGCTTTTTTCTACAACTCTGTATCCACTGATTAAATCCTCACACTCTGTTCTAAAGGTACATATTTAAAATGTGCAGTGGAAGAAGGAATGTTGTTTGAAAATCTATCATTTAAAAACAGCCAACTCAATACATTCTGAACAGTCATCCTCATGCTCTTTCCAGAGGGCAGACAGCAGTTCTACTAGAACATCATATGATTTGTCTTTGAGTTGTTCACTTGTGCACTGGAGCCCAGGTCTTATCAGGAAGCATTGAAGAGAAAGAGTGAAGCTGAGCCTCCTCAGCAGTCAGCCCTTTCAGGGAAGAGGGCAGAAGGCTCCCACAGGCTGAGTAAAGGTACATTTCTGCTGAACTTCCATTTTCCACAAAAGAGGTTGATGCTGTGTGATTGAAGCTTTATTTTGTGAGGAAGAAAACTCTGAAATTTATGGCTGGGTAATAATTTGTAAAATGTGTTTCAAATTACACATTCTGGAATATTAACGTTTCTTCTTTAGAAATCTAATTTTAAAGAGCTTCACTTCTTGTATTTTGTGCTCTTGACTTCATAGTTTATTGATAGATATGATAAACAGATGATACTATTTAACTAAAATTTATTCAAGGAAAGATTACTGTGACTTTATAATTTCTAGCATCAAGTGTGAGAGGAAATCACTCATAATTATTTAATTTGTAATACTCTGTATCTGCAGAATAGAATTTTAAGAGGAGAGACTATAAAAAAAGATTAAATTATTTCTTAAATTCATGAATTACTAAAATATAAGACAATCTCAATATCCTTTTGTCTTGTGACAAAGACATTCTTCCAGGATCCCATCTGACCCTTCAGTGTCAAAGGAAAGGCTTTCTGGAGGTAAGAAGCCTCACTCAGAGCAAAGACAACAGATCTTTCTTGTTGCTGCTTGACTAAATTGGTCCCTTGACCAATTTTCAATGAGTAGTGTTGGAAACAGAAAGCAAATCTCGTCTCATTCATGCTGCTTAGAGCTGTGGACCTTACTTGAATGTGTGTGACAGTCAGTTGCAGCATTTTAAAGATGTGCCTGTGTTCTGCAGTTTAGGAGATATAAATTTTCCAGGTACCTTTTCATCTGCTGAAAAACATGAAAGTGTTTATTTGCTAATATTTGGTATTATATTGAATTTACCCCTCATCTTTAGTTCTCTACCTTTCTCGATTTCTTTCTTTTATACTGAGTGAATTAATTTCTGATACTTATGTAAGGATTTGTAATAAAAGTAAAATTATAAATTCAAGGTAATCATGGAGTCAAACATGCAAAGTATCTGTAATGATGTTACCATCACAGCAGGCTTCATCATGATGGAAACCAGTACAAGTGTAATTTGTGCAAATATTTCATAAAATGTGTATGATTGCTTGAGAAAGCAATTTAATAAGACATTTATTTTCAGCTTGTGCAGCCAGGATTGGTGAGCTGAATCTCAAATCTGTGTTTGTCTGAAGAATTGTTAAGGTTGCTTTTTCTCTGCCAAATGTCCTGAGCTTGGTTTATAACCTGCCTGGAAGCCCTTGCTCCTATGAAAGGTTAGTGAAACACTTAGGGTGCCCAATAATTCTAAAAGAGGTAGTTCACAATAAGTAATGTTATTGTGCTTACTTTTTTTATGTTCTCAAACATCTAACAATTATTGCTGAGTGATGTTCCATAGGCATTATAATTTCATATATGTGTGGTTTGTTTTGCATATGAAATCCATAAAAGCCTACTTTTTCAGGCAACTTTTAATATGTGGCATTATCTCCTCAGGTTAATCATTTCTATAATGCTTTCTCGTTTTTGACGAGGTGCTCACCAGTTCAAACTAGTCCTCAAATGTGTGTTGGGTTTGCTAGGTTTGCACCCATGATGCACTTCATATTTATATGATCCTCAAGAAAATCACCCTGTGATCAGTGTCTCTCTCCCACAGGTAGGCAAATGATAAGATCTCATGAGCAATAATCAGAGATTTTTAAAACTTCTAATTATTCCTGATGAACACCATGTAAGTTAGTTCATGTTTGAGTACATTCTGGATATCATTTTGTCTCGAGGCATCATTAAGATTATTAAATAGCACTGACATGGATTGGACCTGGTAATTAGCATATTTTAACTTTTTTGCTTTTACTTTCACATATTCAGTCTTTTCTAGTTATTAAGAATAGTTTTTAAGTTTTATAACATACTCATGTTTCATATATTCAATAGCTTTAAAAATTACTTTCAGAATATTCTCTGGAATTTTCTTAAAGTTACTTTCTTGTGCATTTGTTTTTAGAGGGGATGAAATGCTAAGAAAATTTGAAGACTATCACTCGTATAATGAAATAATTATTACAATCATTGGGAAACATTGTAGACATTACTTCTATATTAAAGCAGTTTGTTTAGTAGAATGGTAAAGTATCTTGAAAAACATAGTACATGTACTTTGATACTATAGTTAATTTGCTTGTGTAATTTCTATTAAATAGTAATCTTTTCCACTCGTCTTCCTCTATCTTAGTCAATTTTTGTATTTATTAATCCCTATAAAATCTTGTACTTCTTTTCTGTTACTATTTTAAACAGCAACTCTTTTTAGCTCATTCTGTTTTTCCATACACTTATGAAAGTAATTGTATAATAGGAGAAAATATAGGCTTGACATGTAGGTTGAGTATTCATGGATTTTCACTAAAAACTACCATCTGGTAAAATTTATTTTATATAGTTAGTGACATGGAAAATTATTTATTCTAATAATGATTCTATCAACTCAAATCTAAAAGGGTTACAATAACACCTCATATTTAAATTACTGTTGCTTTTATTTCTATTTATAATCAATAAAAGAAAATAAAGGTTGATTCATTAAAATGTACGCAATTATACAACAACTCTTCCTTGACACAGTGTTATTTGGAGAACTGAGCAGAGTATTTTCGTTAGTGAAAAGATTGAATCTAACCTAAATTATACACAAATGGAGAATGTAATCTTTGTGCACACATCATCACCATGGTGACAAAATTATTTTAAGTTTTTATTCTGGTTTCAGTAATCATCTTTATTTACATTTTTCTGCTGTAATCTATGAAAATCTAAAAAGAGGAGTTGAAAAAGCAGTGGGGAATAAGATTCCTGCAGTTCAAAGCTCATTACTGACAGAGCTTTTCCCTTTTAATATGTACTCACTTTATACATGAACTAAAACATTACAGGTTCACTGTTAATATCTACAAATATATGTCAAAACAGTAAAATAAAATAAGTAAAAATACCTATATTTCAATATAGACTAGTTTATTATACCAAAGAGGATAGAGCTGTATTTTTATATAAAGTGACTCCAGGGAGAATAAATGTGTTTAATTATTGACCCTTTACTCTTTCAAAAGAAAATTTACATTATCCCATGGATTTATCATACATTATCTGCTTTGATTTTTCAATTTAAGGCATGAAAATCAGGAACCAAACCTCTGGGACAGACTTTATGCTGGTTGGTCTTTTCCAATATGGCAGCATGAATGGTTTTCTCTTTGCTGCCATTGTCTTCCTCTTCTTGGTGGCTGTGCTGGGGAATATTACCCTGGTCCACCTCATCCGACTGGACAGCAGGCTCCACTCACCCATGTACTTGCTGCTCAGTCAGCTCTCCTTCATTGACATGATGCACATCTCCAACACTGTACCCAAGATGACTACGAACTTCCTGATGAACACCAAGACCATCACATTTTTGGGCTGTGAGATTCAGACATTTATGTTCCAGAGCCTTGGTGGATGTGAAGCCATTCTCTTGGGCTTCATGTCCTATGATCGTTATGTAGCCATCTGCCATCCTTTGCGCTATCCTGTCCTCATGAGCAAGAAGATCTGCTGCTCCCTGATCATGTGTGCATGGTCCAGCAGTGCTGTCAACTCCTTATTACACACATTGTATTTTTTCCAGCTTCCCTTCTGTGGGTCTCGGATCATTAACCACTTTTTCTGTGAAGTTCCTTCCCTCCTGCCATTAGTATGTCAGGACACCTCCCAGTATGAGTACACTGTACTCTTGACTGGACTTGTATTTCTGCTGTTGCCCTTCCTGGCCATCCTAGTTTCATATGCTCAAGTGCTCACTGTTGTGTTCCAGATGAGCTTAGGCAAAGGGCGCACCAAAGCTCTTTCCACCTGTTCCTCCCACCTGATTGTGGCGAGCCTCTTCTACATTACCAGTCTCTGCACCTACACTCAGCCACACTCGTTGCATGAGCCTGCCCAGGACAAGATGTTGGCAGTTTTTTACACCATTGTCACACCTCTTCTGAACCCATTCATCTATAGTCTGAGGAACAAGGATGTCCTGGCGGCCCTGAGAAGACTGTTGGGATGATAAACAATGTTGGAGGAAATATAGCTTTAGAATTCTTTAGTGATTGAAGATTAACACTTTAGATAACTGTTTCTGAAGTCTATCAGGGAAGATGTCAAAATAGATGGTCTATGTAGAAACTAAGAAACACTGTGTTCATCAGACTTTACTTACAAAACAGGACAGTAAAAATCATGGATTCTATTTTCAAGTGATTAATGTTTTCAATTGACTTTTTAAACTTTTTTATTTTAAAAAGAAAAAAAAACAAAAATCAAGGAGCAATATTTCAAAAAATAACAAGAATGAGGAAAAACAGCAATATAGGATTTCAATACAACGTGATAGGAATTTAATGATGACTGTTATGTAGCATATTATTTTCTTCAAAATAGTTGCTGAGGTTATCAGATACATCCAAGCAAGACTGATCAACAGGGTAATTTTCCTTTAAGCAGTTTCTTTCCCTTTCCTGTATCTATAACATCTTTTGTATCTTATTTACTCTGTTAGTTTCTTACACGAGGGAGACAATACAATGTTTACATGTGAGTCTGATTTATGTCACTTATGAGTGTGGTTTCTAGTTGTATCCCTTTATCTATAAAAGCCTTGAGTTTATCGGTTTTTATACATTCTTCAGTTTATGCATATTTGAGTTGTTTCCAAGATTTGGCTATTAAAATATCATGTACCTATAAACATGAATGTACATATTGCTATGATAATGATGATTTAATTTCTTCTGGCAAAATACTCAGAAGAGGAAGAGCTGGTTTGAAAAGCACATCTAACTCTAACTTTTTGAGGAATCTCCATGCTGATTTCCACAGTGATTGTATCATTCTATATCCAACAACAATGGAGACAGGTTTCTTTTTCTCCATGGATCCATTATTGTTTCCTATTGGTTTATTTCTTGATGATAGCTATCAAGGTGGAATCTTACTTTTTTATATTTTAGTGTTCTTTTAATTTGATTTTTCAAATGATTAACAACATTGAACATTTATTTATATATTTATTTGCCGTTTGTATTTCTTCATCTGAGAAGTGTATATTCATCTCAGATGCCCATTTTTTGGATTGGGTCTTTGAGTTTGGGGGGCCTGATTTTTTATAATTCTTTATCTATTCTAGATCAGAGTCCTTTGTCTGTGGGACAGTTGGCTAAGGTTTTTTTTTTTTTCCCCAATTCATGAGTTTTCTTTACACTGTTATTCCTTTGACACACCAAACTATTTTAATAAGATGAGATCTCATTTGTTGATTGTGTGAAATATTTCCTGTGCAGCTTGATTTCTGTTCATGAGTTCTCTGTCTACTCCTATGTCTTCAACATTTTTTTCCTTTGTTTTCCAGAGGATTTATTGTTTCTGTTTTAATATTTAGATGTTTGATCTATTTTGACTTTAGCTTTATGCCTGATGATAAATGTGGGTCTAGTTTTAGTTACAGGTATAAGGAAAGCCAGTTTTTCCAGCACCATTTATTAAAGAGGCCATTGTTATCTGGTGAATATGTTTGGAGCCTTTGTAAAAGATAAGGTGGTTAAGTATGTTTGTAATTGTGGTTGCATTTTTAATCTATTCCACTGATGTTCAGGTCTTGTCTTTTTTTTTCAATAGTATGTTGATTTCATCACACTAGCTTGATAGTATGATTTCAAGTCAGGGATTATGATGCCTCCTGCCTTGCCTTTTTGCCTTGGATTGTATTTGCTATTCTGCATCTTTTCTGGTTCAAGATGAATTTGAGTAATTATTTCTCTATTTCTATGAGACACATTCTTGGAATTTTGATTGAAATTGCATTAAATCTGCATAACAACTTTGGAAGCATAGCCATTTTCCCAAGCTTTTATTCATGTACAACAGATATCTTTACATTTTCTGAAATCCACTTTGATTTTTTTCAGTGTACTATAATTTTCAATGTATGGACTTTTTACTTTTGACTCCTATTTCATTTTTATAGAGTGCTATTGTGAAGGGTGTGGTTTCCCTTATTTGTCTCTCTATGAACTTGTCGTTTATATTACAGAAATGCTATTGATTTTTGAATTTTGATTTTACATCCAGCTATCTTACTGAATGTGGATGTTTAATCTAGATATTTCTCAGTGGATTTTGGGGGTCATCTATATAGATTATCGTGTCATCTGCAAATAATGATAATTTAACTTCTTCCTTTCTTACCTTCTTTTATTTCTCTTGGTTCTAATTACTCTTGCTAATATTTTCAGAATTATATTGTATAGGAAAGATGATAATTGACATCCTTATCTTGTTCCTGATTTTAGGGTGACATTTTTCACATTTTGTCCATTAAACAAGATGTTGGCTGTTAGTTTATCATATATGGTTTTTTATCAGATTGAGGTAAAGACCTTCTATTCCAATTCGCCATAGGTTCTAATCATGAATATGTGTTGGACTTTATCAAAAACTTTTCCTGCATCTATTGAGATTATGTGATTTTTTTGAGTCTGTTGATATGGTGTATTAGGCTTATTGATTTTCATATGTTGAACCACCCTTGCATTTCAGGGATGAATTCCACTTCATCACAGTGTATAATCTCTCAAGATCCACTTTATTCTGTTTCCTGTATTTTACTGAGAATTTTTACAACTATGTTCATTAGGGAGATTGATCCGTACTTCTCTTTTTTGGTTGAGTCTTTCTATGGTTTTTGTCAGGGTAATTCTTGTTTCCAGGAATGAGTTAGGGACAATCGTTTTCCTTTCAGTTTCACTGAAGAGTCTGAGAAGTGTTGACATTAAGTCTTTTCTAAATTTCTTGTACAATTAAACTGTGAATCTATAAGGACCTGGATTTTTCTCTGCTTGTTTCTAAACATATTTTATATTTTATTAAATTAAGTTGGGTTCCTAAGAATGTTTTTATCTCCTTAATCCAGTTTTGGTAATTAATATATTTCTAGTAACATGTCCATTTCTTCTGTTATTGAACCTATGAGAGTAAACATTTTCAAAATAGCTATTGATGACATTTTGTATTTCCACAGGATCTGTAGTGACTTCATTTACATTTCTTATTGCATGACTTTGAATCTTTTCTTACTTTAATATGGTTGGCTATAGGTTTATCAATTTTATTTATTCTTTCAAAGAACCAACTCTTTATTACTTCTTTGCACTGTTCTCAGTCTCAATTGGGTTAAATTCTGCTCTCATCTTTAAAATTTCATCCATTCTTTGAGCTTTTTGTTTGACTTACTTTTGTTTTTCTGGAAATTTGAGTAGCATCAAGTTGCTTATTTGTGCTTGTTCTGTTTTTCTGATGAAAGAATTCCCCGCAATAAATTTCTTAGGACTGCTTTCATTTCATCCCTCAAATTCTGATAAATTGTATTTACATTTTTGTTTGCTTGTAGATATGATTTAATTTCTTCTTTAATTTCCTTTGTGACCAATTGCGACTCATTAGGGTACTGCATAATTTCTATTTGTTTATGGAATTCTTGCAATTTCTTTTATCATTAATTTCCAACTTCATTAAGTTCATTATGGTCATTAAGTTCATTACAGTCAGAGAACATGTATGGGTTTGCACTTGCAATTGTTTTGCTCTTGCATAAGCGTATTCTATGGGTTAGTTTCTATTCTATTTTAGAGGAACAGTGTAGGTGCAGCTGAGAAGAATGTGTATTCTGGTGTTTTGGGGTGGAATCCTCCATAAATATATATTAAGTCCATTTGTTCATAAGTTTGATTTAATTCTGTTATTACTTTGCTGATATTTTTGTCTAGTGGACTGGTCACTTTTTGACAATGGGGTTTTAAAGTCTCCCATTATAATTGTGCCTTGCTTATTTGATTTTTTATGTCTATTATTATTTGGATATTCTAGTATTTGTTGCATATATATTTAAGACTGCTATATTTTCTCAAAATTTTCCACTAACCAGAATAGAATGACCTTCCTTTGTCGTTCGATCATTCTTCATTTGAAGTTCACATTGTCTGCAAAAAGAATATGTAACCACTTTTCTGGGTTCCTGTCACATCTAGCATTGTTTTCCATCCTCTGACTTTGTATATGAGTTTTCTTTTGTGTTACATGGGTGTCATGTATGCAGCACATAGTTGGATTTATTTCTTGATTGATTCTGCCAGTCTATTTCATTTAATTGGTGAATTGAGGCCATTTATATTAATGATTATAACTGATATATCCTGGCTTATTCATGTTACATTATCTTTTTGCTGTAGGTTCTTTACTTTTTCAGTTTAATATTTCCCCTGCTTGGTGGTTTTTTCTTTTATTGTTCTTGAAACTGTAGTAATTTTTTCCTCTATCTATAATATCATTCAGTACTCTGTAGAGTTTGTCTGGTTGTCATGAAGTTGTTCAGTTGTTCTTTGTAATGGTTGTACTCTATTTCTCCATCAATTTTGAAATTGAAATTTTGAAAGTTAGTTTTACAGGGTACATCAATCTACATTGGAAAGTGTTTTGTTTTAGGACTTGAAATACTCTTCTTGCATGCTCTTCTTGACTTGGTTATTTTTATTAAAAAGTCTGCTGTGATTCTGATGTTGTTTTTTATAGGTGATCTGCTTCTTTTAACAGCTTTTTATATTCTGTTGTTATGCTGGATTTCTGGGATCTTGATTATTATACAACTAGGTACAGATTTATTTTGGTTATAGCTAACTGGAGTTTTGTACGATTCACTTATCTGTATATCAGTTTCCTTTACCATGCTTGGGAAACTTTTATTACTCCTGCAATGTCTTTAAATTTCAATTGTGTTGACTCCTTCTATTTTGTTGACAATTATCAGTCTTATATTATTATTCTCTCCATCATCTTCCTACTGTTAAGCTGCTATTTCTTGATTCCTTGTTATTTTTAAAAATATCTTTCCAGTCCGGATGGCTAGCTGCAATCTTATCTCCAAGGTCTGTGAGTCTATCTTCACATCTGGTCAAATGGCTTTGCCTGCTTGGGAATTTCTGATTCCCTGGATATCTCTTTAAATATGTTTCATTC